GAGCGACACACACACACAAATGTCCATGGTGTATCATGGTGTTTAACATATATATATATGTGTGTATATATATATACACATACTACACATACGTATGTTTTCGCCAATTTACAAGAAGGAGCAGTGGTGTAGCTCGGTTGAATCTACCAGACCCGGTTAATTACAGAACTTCATGTTCCGGCATTCAATTTGACTTGGCAGGAATTGAGAGTAACTGTTTCAAATGAATCGACGCTCATCGTGGGCACCATATAGGCTATTGTACGCTATTGTATATGTTTGCATTGTTTACATATTTTGCCAGCAAGTGGTTGGCAGCAATCAAACCGTGATTTCGTAGATATGTAGTTAGAAGTGTTTCCCAGCCCACCCATTTTCTCGTGTGCACATCATTCTGTGGTGGAGGGCATCAGCAGTGCTTGAAGTTTAAAGATGTTTACAACAGAAGTCGTTGAAATAAGACAACGGACGGGATTTGCTATGCCATGGTGTTTAATGTGTAAAGCTCCGGGGACTTGTCCTGAACACACCTTCTCCTATGACACCCTCCCACTAGTCCTCCCACTTTTATTGCTCAAACGATGAGAAGACCGCACATACTTGTCATGACACCCAATCAGTCCACCACGAAGACGGTCTATTAGAGCAGGTACATTTATACGACGTCTACGCACGGCACGCGACCGCAAGCCCCAAAAACGGATCACGGCACGGCCCAAAACGAAAGCATCGGTAGCCTCTTGGCCGGGAGGCCGAGATCCGGAGATTTCCTTCCGATCCCCGCTGGGTTCCCACAGCTTTGGACGCGGAGACGTGTGAACTGTTAACGAGATTTGACGAGAGACTGAGCAAATCCATTTTTGTGCGTTTGGAGGGAGGCACTAATTCGTCTCTTCGCCGTAGGAGTCAAGCCAAGAGCCAAGCATGAATGTCCGTTCCAGCCGGCAGCTGTTGGATTTGAGTTGGTCCTTTCTTCAACCATCTTCAACCCATGGCAGCCTTTGGTGTTCGGCTTTGATCAGGCTTTGGGAAACTCCATCGTCCAGTGCCACAAGCCCTGGGACACCCGACTTTGGCATTGAGGCGAAATCCTCGATGTCCCTGAAGCTATGTGCCCGAAGGATCCCGACGGCGCCTTTCTCCGTATCCCAAAACCGAAACGCCACAGCCATATATATATATATATAATATGTAGAGGAAAATGACATGCCCCGCAGCCGCCCCCTTCAACCTATATTAGTTCAATACGGAAGGGGACCCTGGGAACCCCGGGGTCCCTGGGAACGGCTTGGTGAAAACCGAACAGTTGTGCTACGGACCATGTAGCACAGTGAGTTGATTTGTATCATGGCGCAAGTCTCCAAGAAGCATCCCAATCGAATATGTGTTGCTTGCAAACGTTCTGTCAGAACATCAGTTTTACATAGTTTTACCAAACTAAGAGTGAACCAAACGAGGGGACAAACAAAATGAACTTTTGGAAATAGGAGGGGCAGAATTCCATGAATCTTTGGGAAGAGCTTCAAACCGAAGAGTTGCCTTGGACAACTACTGTAACTACAAAAACACTATATATATAATCTATAAATTAAAAACACGGTTTACAGCAATCTTATTATATAAAGCTCGTATCAAACAATTAGAACCCTCAACATTTAGGGATTGCCTTTTGTCCTTCGCAAAACCCATCTCAAACCAGGTGAGAATTGAACAATAGGTGTCAGGCTTGAGTGGACTACTATGGTCTATATACTATATCTATAATAATGACACCTACACCAAAAACTGTTTTGGGGCCAGTAAAGCGGCAATTAGACATGAGAAGCAAACTGCAAGATACCTGGAGTATGTTGTTTGCTTATTGATATATGAGCTCTTTAAACATGCAGATAGTTTGTGTTTATGATTGTTCACTTTTTTTTTAAACAAAAGCGAGCCGATAGGATAGGCTGAAGTTCGGTTGAGGCGAACAAGGTGAGTATTTGTGGGGCTAGGTCAAAAAAGACAGGCTTTGGGAGGGTAAACCCAGAGCCTGCTGAGGGAGAGCAACAAAACTGGGTCGGCAAAATGTTGCGCTATGACGGCCTTGGTGCATCATCAGTTGGAATGCTTTGGCAAATTTGCCGGTTCCAGTATGATACCATATTATATCATACTATTTCTATATGTATATACGTATATACTATATATATATATACAAATATGTATCATAGTTTCGCTTAAGTTCGCAGAGTCAAGCCATGCGTGAAGGCAAGCCTGGCGTGAAAAGGAAGTTAGATTTTTCAATCAAAACCCCTCAAGCCGCATTTCTGGGCTGGTGCCCTTTTGCGTTTTGTTTGGGGGCCGTCTCAAAAATGGGCACCTCTGAGTAAGTGGGTGCTAGCACCAAGCTTTCCGGAACAGACCTTGAGGAGGAGGGCCGCTGCGGTGCAAGAAATATCAAAAAGAGTACTTCCGAAAAGCAGGTTCTAGTGAGAAGGCCCTAAAGCAGGACACGGCTAGAACGAATTTGTCGAAGCAGGTGCAATATGTAAAGACACACAATTTTAGAGGCGATGCAGAGTCGAAGACGAAGAAAAACATTGAAGCCGATTGAAGCCGCATTTCTAGGTAGGCGCGTTGGTGTTGGGTTTGAATCAGGGCCGCCTCGGGGCCAAAAAGGGCACCTTTGAGACAGTGGGTGGTAGATGGTGGTAGCACCAAGTTTCCCAGGACCTGAAGGACAAGTTTCTGTTGCCTTTCTGCGTGTTGTTTGAGGGCTGTCTTGGGGCAAAACAGCGCGCTTCTGAAAATAGCAGTGATAAGACCCTGGACAAAGCAGGACATGGCCGATGCACTTTGGAGCGTTTTAGGGATGGCTGGCTTTCGTCCCCTCACTTCTCAAGCTACTCAGGTCTCATTTGTCGGCAGGACTATTTATGGTTGATCATTTGGCATACGACTGTACCGGTAGGTTTGGCACGCAAAAAGAGTTCCCCGCTTATCACGAAAGCTAGCATGCTAGCTGAGTTCTTCTTTGCTTTAGCAATTGGTAGTGGGATGAGCTGTGTGCCTTAAAGCTTGATATATCACGCAAACCACCCCCCCCCCACGGTTCGACTCACAGCTGCGCGCCGTGTGAACGTGGTTGGTTGGGTGTAAACGGTGGCTTGGTGTAAACGGTGCTGCTGCTGCCGCTCTGCTGCTTGCTGCTGCTGTTTGCTGCTGCCGCTGGTTGCCGCTTTTGTAGCTGCTGCTTTGCTACTTGTTGCGGCTTGGTGCTGCTGCTGCTGCTGTTGCTGACGACGCCGCTGCTGCTGCTTGCTGCTTGCTGCTTGCTGCCGGTGGTGCTGCTGCTGCTGCGGCTTGATGCTGCGCTGCTGCTGCGTGGTGCTGCTGGCTGGCTGCTGGTTGGCGGTTGCTGCTGGCTGCAGGCTGCAGGCGGCTGCTGCTGCTGCTGCTGCTGCTGCTGCTGGCTGCTGCTTGCTGCATAGGACTTGTACTTCACCGTTACACGTTGTCTACCCCTATTTCTAACCTAATGCATGCATAAGCGGGTGGTAAATTTACCCCCCAGGCTTGCTATAACCATACACCGGCTATTTCCTCAAGACTCTCTATTCTTGATACCTTTTACCAGTGCTTATCCTACACTACGGACGCCCTAGTGTATGCACAGTCCTTGTGATGCTTACCCCTCGTTCCGGCACTAGTACATCCGGTGCGATTCGGCTAGCTTTCGACCTCCTCCCCCTGGCCTCATGTTCGCACCAAATTGCATCAAATTGTTGTTGCACGCATCCGTTCTGTGATCAACACATCACCTCGTCCACATCCTTTGTTCAAAAAGAACGTATGTGACCTTCACGATGGAATTCCTATTCCGCGCCTGCCCTCGAAACAAAACCTGCGGCGCATGGCTTTGGTTTCCCCTTTCAAGAGGCCTAGTCTCGGTGGCTTAGCATGCCGCCACAGCTATGCAAAAAGAGCGAGCGACTTGGCACCTGCGACACACGTCGTCACCTATGTGCTCTGAAAACGTGTCGAGATTGTTTTTTTGAACACTGCACCTGCATTGACATTCGGTGCACTTCACAGGGGCTCAAGGGTTGACAAGGTATGGTGGACAGGGGGATTTTTGAAGAAGGCATTGAAACACATGCGCCGAAGGGCTCTTCGAAGTGGCCCCTAACGCCTAAAATTCACTGGAACTGGGATCAAATCTGTGCTCCGTAGAAAAAGGTTCGAACCGAAGTTGACCAAGTGAACACACAAATTCGTTACAGGTCTGATGGCGGATGGTGAGGGGCGGGGAAGACCATGAACGCAAAGCCTGGTGCACCATGGCAGTGTTGAACTGGCGGGTTTGGTGGACCAGGGGGAACCGAACAAATGTGGATCGGCAGTTCCAAACCCTTTGGAACGGCGGAGGGGGGGGCGCTTCATCGGTGTAGCGACAAGACCGTTTGTGTGCGGGACAGGGAGCATAAACTGTATATATAGAGGTTGTCCTTGGGCATGAGTATGTTGCCGGAACCATGCACCACTTGGAGAACACCAGCCAACCTCAAAAAAACATGTGTCCCATGGCTATTTAGCATGGTGTGCCTCAAAGTGCAATCACGTCATCGAGTCACCAAGGCACTATCTAGGACCTTGGAGGAGCAAATGTCTTGAACATGTATATCCAGGTTGTGGTTCTTTCAGTTTTCCATCGAAGCAGAGGGTGTTGTACCAATTCCATAAATGGTGGGTCGACAGCCAGTAGATGTTGCGGGCAAAACCATCCATGGTGTCCCGCGCAGCGAGCGGCAAGCGCATGGAGCATCCGACAAAACTTCCGTACACTTGAGTGATGAGCATTTCTGAAGCATTTCTGGATTGATCAATCCCTGGAAGCCTTGCATAACCAATAGTAATTATATAGGGGCTAACACATGCTTTAAACAAATCATATATATAAATACTTACCGATGCCATCCAATGCCCATTTGTTGAAGGCCTGCATTCCAAAACACTCATTGAACACCACATCATCCGACCCGCAAAGTGGGCCCCGAATTTCAGCGCGCGCCATGCGGCGCCTTCTTCCACTGCTGCTGCTGCTGCTGCTGCCGCCATCCGTCGCTCAGCTGGTGCCACGCGTGGTGCTTGTGGCCGCCTTTCCGCCGGAGTTGGAACGGCCCGGGTGCTCGGAGTATAGGGGGGGTACTACTAGGGGCTCCTGGCATCGCTACCAGGAGCAAGGACGCTACTAGGGGCTCCTGGCCTTACTAAAAAAACTAGTAACAAGAAGCTACTAGGAGTAGAGGGGGGTAGAGGGTTTGTCCGCAGAGGATTTCGTTGGGTGGGGCGTTCGCAAGGGTATGGGGGGAACGGGGAGTTGCGGTGTCTAGAAGAGGAATGTCAACGCCATAGTTGGAATTGGTAAAGGGGTGATTGTAACCCGGACCATGAGGGGTTCGCATCTTGTAATATCATGTAAGATCTTTTAATTTGGATAAATTGTCTGACAAAGATGGTCAGAGAGCCGGGTAAAGTTTAAGCTGCAATGGAACCTGACATCTCAGAGGTTCAATCTTGCAGGTCATGTGTGTATGCGTTTTTTGCTGGTGACCCCAAGCGACATGTTTGGCGACATGCTCAGGTGGATCGAGCGATTGCCGTTGTCAGAAGAACTGCCATTTCCTGCTGGTGCTGGCCCCCAGGTTCTTCATTGGAACAGTGTTTTGGCAGAACGATGGAGTCATGGGGTGTTCCAGGGATGGGCTGGGGCAGAACGATCAGAACGTGGGCTCCAACGATTGGGGCGAAAGCGCACCAGGTCGACGGGATGGAAGGATTGAAGATGATTGAAGCACAAGATACACATCCTTATGACATGGTTGCGTTTCCTGCGAATTTGGATCTACACTCTGACTCACTAACATGGAAGTGGAAAAATGGCCTCTTGGAAGACTACTTTCCTTTACAAACAGTGGGTTTTCCACTTCCATGTTAGTGAGTTGGAGTGTACACTCATTTCTCTGGGTTGCCGGTGCCAGAATCTCCCGGTCTTTGGACTCAGGTTCAAGTCACGCAGAGCATGTTTTTTGGGGGGTATCCTCGCAATATATGTCAATAATTGTCTCGCATTTCTGAGGGTAGATCATTTTCTCCACGTCGACCTTATTCTTTTTTTGGTAAAAGTGCACAGTTTTTGTGCTGTTGGAATTGATCGATTCAGCTTCTCCGGGCTGTTGGAATCTCAGTCAAATCCGTTGCTCCGATTTCAAGGAAAATCCATCCAAAAGTGACGAGCAAACTTCGCAAACACCCACGAACATTATCTTATAACTTATTCTGCCATCTCTATGAACAAGATGGAACCCACGAACCCGAATGCAAACACAATCGAAAAACTACATATGTCCAAATGACACTCTTGTAGGACACTCTTGTGGGACACTCTTCTGGGACACTCTTGTAGGACACTCTTGTAGGACACTCTTGTGGGTCACTCTTGTAGGAAACTCTTGTGGGACACTGTTGTAGGACACTCTTGTGGGATACTCTTGTCGGACGCTCTTAAGGGACACTCTTGTGAGACACTCTTGTGGGACACTTTTGTAGGAAACTCTTCTTGTGGGACACTCTTGTGGGACACTCTTGTGCGACACTCTTGTGGGACACTCTTGTGGGACACTCTCGTAGGACACTCTTGTAGGACACTCTTGTGGGACACTCTTGTGGGACACTCTTGTGGGACACTCTTGTAGGGAACTCTTGAGCGACACTGTTGTGGGACACTCTTGTGGGACACTCTTGTGGGACACTCTCGTAGGACACTCTTGTAGGACACTCTTGTGGGACACTCTTGTGGGACACTCTTGTGGGACACTCTTGTAGCAAGCTCTTGTAGGACACTCTTGTGGGACACTCTTGTGAGACACTCTTGTAGGACACTCTTGTGGGACACTTGCAGGACATTCTTGTGACTCTTGTGGGACACTCTTACACGACACTCTTGTAGGACACTCTTGTGGGACACTCTTGTGGGACACTCTTGTAGGAAACTCTTGTGGGACACTGTTGTAGGACACTCTTGTGGGATACTCTTGTCGGACACTCTAAGGGACACTCTTGTGAGACACTCTTGTGGGACACTTTTGTAGGAAACTCTTCTTGTGGGACACTCTTGTGCGACACTCTTGTGGGACACTCTTGTAGGACACTCTTGTAGGACACTCTTGTAGGACACTCTTGTAGGACACTCTTGTGGGACACTCTTGTGGGACACTCTTGTAGGACACTCTTGTGGGACACTCTTGTGAGACACTCTTGTAGGACACTCTTGTGGGTCACTTGCAGGACACTTTGTGGGACACTCTTACACGACACTCTTGTGAGACACTCTTGTGGGACACTCTTGTTGGACACTCTTGTAGGACACTCTTGTGGGTTTCTCTTGTCGGACACTCTTGAGGGACACTCTTGTCGGACCCTCTTGTGGGAGACTCTTGTGGGACACTCTTGTGGGACACTCTTGTCGGACACTCTTGTAGGACACTCTTGTAGGACACTCTTGTGGGTCACTCTTGTAGGAAACTCTTGTGGGACACTCTTGAGCGACACTGTTGCGGGACACTCTTGTGGCACACTCTTGTGGGACACTCTTCTGGGACACTCTTGTAGGACACTCTTGTAGGACACTCTTGTAGGACACTCTTGTGGGACACTCTTGTGGGACACTCTTGTAGGACACTCTTGTGGGACACTCTTGTGAGACACTCTTGTAGGACACTCTTGTGGGTCACTTGCAGGACACTTTTGTGGGACACTCTTACACGACACTCTTGTAGGACACTCTTGTGGGACACTCTTGTAGGATACTCTTGTGGGATACTCTTGTCGTACCCTCTTACGGGACACTCTTGTCGGACACTCTTGTGGGACACTCTTGTAGGAAACTCTTCTTGTAGGACACTCTTGTGGGACACTCTTGTGGGACACTCTTGTAGGACACTCTTGTGGGATACTCTTGTCGGGCACTCTTAAGGGACACTCTTGTGAGACACTCTTGAGCGACACTGTTGCCGGACACTCTTGTGGGACACTCTTATAGGACACTCTTGTGGGACACTCTTGTGGGACACTCTTGTGGGACACTCTTGTAGGACACTCTTGTGGGACACTCTTGTGGGGCACTCTTGTGGGACACTCTTGTAGGACACTCTTGTGGCACACTCTTATACGACACTCTTGTGGGACACTCTTGTGGGACACTCTTATGGGACACTCTTGTGGGACAGTCTTGTCGGACACTCTTGTAGGACACTCTTGTGGGACACTCTTGTAGGACACTCTTGTGGGTCACTCTTGTAGGAAACTCTTGTGGGACACTCTTGAGCGACACTGTTGCGGAACACTCTTGTGGCACACTCTTGTGGGACACTCTTCTGGGACACTCTTGTAGGACACTCTTGTAGGACACTCTTGTAGGACACTCTTGTGGGACACTCTTGTGGGACACTCTTGTAGGACACTCTTGTGGGACACTCTTGTGAGACAGTCTTGTAGGACACTCTTGTGGGACACTCTTGTGGGACACTCTTGTGGGACACTCTTGTAGGACACTCTTGTGGGATACTCCTGTAGGACACTCTTAAGGGAGACTCTTGTGAGACACTCTAGTGGGACACTGTTCACTCTTGTGGGGCACTCTTCCAGCTCCCCAGATACTCCGCGTACTAAAGTTGTACTACTACAAGGTCGCCAGTTCTCAGCTTCCAGCTCCACAGATTGCTCCGCGTACTAAAGTTGTACTACAAAGTCGCCAGTTCTCAGCTTCCAGCTCCCCAGATACTCCGCGTACTACAGTTGCACTACAAAGTCGTCAGTGCTCGCCTGCATGTCGCGCGCGCGACACGCACGATCTCCGCAGAGGGTTGCGCGGGCACCGGAGAAATCGCACTCTCGCCTGCATTTCACGCACTCGACACGCACGATCTCCGCAGAGGGTTGCGCGCGGATGGGACAATCGCACTCTCGCCTGCATTTCGCACACTCGACACGCACGATCTCCGCAGAGGGTTGCGCGTCAAGTCTCCAAAACGAGCGTTTCGTACGAGACTCCCTCCAAAAGTCAAGCGGAAACACCCATCGAAGCACACACATCACGCAGCCCTGCCAAGCAGTTTCGCGATTCCAGCCCCTCCAAACAACATCCGCCCACACGCCAATCCCAATGTTACAGCGACATTCACCTCTGACTCTACCACAACTCACAACCTCACGATTCCCTGCGCCTGCCACGAATCTTTCCGCGTCCACACGTCTGACGCGGACATAGTATCACATAGTACTGCGCCTGCCACGAAAAGTCACCTCCGTCACACCTCGCAGCCTCGCAACCTCACGATTCCCTGCGCCTGCCACGCGATTCGCACTTCCACGCCTCAAAACCCGCACCAAGTACTGCGCCTGCCACGAAAAGTGAGAATATCATCTCATGTAAGCATCAACAAAAGTTGCACCACACTACGCGTTTGGGATGATTTCGACCCGTTCTGAGAACATGCACTCCCATCCACCAAAATCGCCGTTTCAGCTGAGACTTGAAAACTGAGCTTCGATGCCACACCCTGCAACGCAAATCCCAATGGCACGGCCACATCCAACACCCCAAAAACACGACTCTCCAAACGCTAATCCCAATGAAACTGCGCAGCAAACTGCGGATCTCACAAAACACGCTGCGCCCGTGCAGCGAATTGCATCACGTTTCTTGCGCGACATGTCATGGTCATGCCAATCACATGAAATAGCGGCGCAAACTGGCACGTGACACATCCATGAACAGTCACTTGCAAAAGCTTCCCCCAATGGCCTCGAGTTTGAGACGCGACGACGACGACAAACGACGACAGACGACGACAGACGACGAGAGACGACGAGACAGCCATGCAAACACAGCTCCAACCCCCAGACCCCCAACTATAAACGGGAACCCTTCGCTACGCATTCGGGAATATGCATGCATATACAGTATGAATCAACAGGCGCATGTGTATGATGTTGCTGTTGGTGACTTGGTGTAGCTGGGTAGTTCATCGGAGCTGTTCATGAAATCCTATTAACGCTTGATTCGTCGACGTCCTTTTTCCCAGAGTGCGTTCATGACGAGATATGAGGAGCCGTACCTGTATACCAAGTATTTTCAAGTTCTTTAATCGTATGTTTTTGGGCAATAAAAGTTAAGCTGTTGAGCTCGTCTCATCCCCACCCACGTGTTGATTTCGAACAGGCCATATCCGCAGAAAGAAACGGAACACCAGGACTGGAACCAGAATTTGCTACTGCTTGCATGGATATATAATGGGCCGATCCGTGCGGAGACATCCGGGGCCAATCCGTGCCATCCGTGCGAAGTCGTCGCAAGGTCCGCACAGCAAGGCGGTTCCATGCACCGAAGGGTTCCAATCACTCGGCTGTTTCTCTCGATATTCCTGATCACTGAACCTCAGAAGCGGAGCCATAGCGTGTTGCTTTGTGCCTCCGTTTGCTCATCTAGTTTTTTTTGTGGGATTCCCAGCAATGTGAGACAACGGTTGCCACCTATAAACCACCGGAAGACAATGGAAAACCGGGTTTTCGCCCCAGCGACTCTTATCGGCCGGTTTGGTGTATCTTGGCAGTGGCATCACAGTGGCAAGTTCATGTGGACAGTCTTCCAAGTAGGACACCTAAATTAAAGAAACTTCACCTACACCCCCCTGAACGATATGTTTGTGAGCACGTTCTTTGCAAGTCGGCCACAAGTTCACATCATCTACATAATGTCCCAAAATGTCCCAAAAGTTGTTCCTTTCTGAGGAGTGTGTGTGTGTGTGAACTACCACATGCATCGTACAAATAAAGATAAAGAAAGTATATATACTGTATTTTAACACGTTGGTCTATATATATATATATAAGATTGATTTGCAAAGATCAAACCACTCAATGTAAGTGTGCAATGTAAGTGTAGAGAAGACACTGTAGACAAGTTGTAATGTGATGAATACTGGGACCGTGCCAAAGATTACCAAGTGGACTACTCTACAGTCAGTATTTTCGCTTGGGTGGTGTCATTTAGTCCCTACAGGGCCTACGCTTCAGGTGACTTGCAGATCCTTGGCCTTGTGACTGGGCAGACCTCCAAGAGTGCAGCCATGTCGGTCACTTGGGCATTGCTCGGAAGCGCCAACTGCCTCGTGTGGCCTCCCATGTGAGGTACTGTACGGGGCACCATCCTCCGAGTGTATGTCTTGTTTATTTTCTCCGTTTGGCATCGGATCGAAATCCAGAACGAAGCGTCATTGGCAGGGCCTATCCCATTACCAGTAACTGTTGGTAAACGGTTATCATGTTTTTGAACAAGCCCTCTACTAACCATCATCGTCACTGACAATGAGATAGACCCAACGTATTGGTGACACATGGTTGTATGCGGTTGTGGTTCCAAGCTTGTTTGTATACCCTCACCCCCCCTCCAACAATCATGGAAGCTGACCACGCCCCCATAGAGGAAATGGGATCCAGGGGCGAAAGTGTTCCACTTCCATGATTGCTTCAGGGAGTGAATAATATATATATATATATGTATATTACAAATTCTCCGACGGCCGACGTTCGGAATGCATGGAGGTCACAGCCTTGGGCCACGATCCACGTTTCGACTTGCGCCACGCCTTCTGGCTCTTCGCGGGCATTGCAGGCCACGATGCTCCGACCACTTGGGTTGGTTTCGGCCCATGTTTCGGCCGCTGGCATTGAGCATGAGGGCGGCGGGTATTTTCCTTCCACACCATCCCGGTGCATCAAAACCACGCGGCTTTGATCCTGAACATGACGAAACATCACTTGCTTCATCCAAGAATATTCAAATCCTTCAAAATGAGAGTCCTTGGAACATCGCCTGGCAATCAAAAGCATCCAAAAGCGTCACACAGTAACTCATCGAACGACACATCCGGCTTGGTTCCTCCACTTCGTGGCCGTTTGGGTCGACCAAAACCACCGCTTCTTCCGGTGTGAGGCGTTGACCCTGAGCTGGGCTCCCTGGGGTCCGTGACCTGGGGCCGACGCTTGGTGGACGGCACCGCGGTGCCTTGGGCGACGGTGACCGGGTCTAGGTCGGAGGTCAGACCAGTGGACCCGAAGAGTTCATGAGTTCATGATAGTTCATTCTTGCTCCTAGTAGCTTCTTGTTACTAGTAAGGCACTTGTTACTAGAAGCGATGCACTTGTTCCTAGTAGCTTCTTGCTCCTAGGGGGGGGGTTGTCGACTATGAATTGAAGCCCTTTTGAGGCTTGGAAAGGGGTCTCCGCTCAGCAGCGTCGGGGTTGGGAGCTTGCTTTGGGCTACCTGGTCCAACCCCGAAGAAGAGGTTGTGGACAACAACCCTTCCTGTTTGGGGTTTGGGCTACCCAATCCAATCCGCGAGAAGGAGACTTGGCGTTTGCTTCTCTTTTTAAGGGTTACCACTCGGCAACCCGTTTTGGATCTTTCATCTCAAAGCTTTGCACGCCCACAAGCCCGCCTCAACATGGCTCACCGATTGCCAATAGTTTGTACATTGGGCCGGGTTGATTGAACCAAAATTTGGATTGTTTTTATTGCGCACGGTGAGTAGGGCTTAGCAGATTTTGAACGGAGTAGGAATAAATTGAACACACTGTAGGGAGTGAAGAAAGATCATGCGTGTATTTCATGGTCGTTTGAAGGTGGTTGTTGGGCCGGGGCGTGAAAAGCATCATAAACCTGTTTTGTTTTTAAGATTTTGAATGAATTTGAATAAACTTGATGTGTTTTTTCTGTCCAGGGCTGGTTGCTGGGTCTTCAAGTGAGGGTAGAGGTCGACCTGTTGGGCAAAAAACAGGCCGTTGCACGGGTGCAGAGTCGTCAGGTACATCCTTGGCGCATTTTGCTCTCAGAGGATGTTCACCACTGGGGAATCCTTCCCTTATATAATCAATTGCGGTGAGAATTATCCATTTTTTCCACCCAAATGCTCGGACTCGATGAGTGGACAGTGGCTTACCAAGGTGAAGTTCTTAGATGCCCGGGAGATGCCACAGGACGTCATCGGTTCGTTCGGTTCGGTTTGGAGGGTGACGTTTCGGGGAGTGCGCTGGGCAGTTTGGCCAGTAAGAGATATGAGAGTGAGAGTTGCTGGTTGGTGAACTTGGCTGTCTCAAGTGACACCTTGCTATATATATATATATACATACATACATTTATATGGGGATGGGGATGGAGCCCCGTTCCACCATGTAGCTTGACCTTCCAGATGGGTCAACCAAGGTATCCTTCTTTTGACCTAATATGCATTCATGTATATATGTACAGTACACAGATATATATATATATGTATATGTATATGTATAATCTGTATATATAAATCATTGCTATATGTTCCAATTCCTCATGACCCTTGTGGCGTGTATCCGATCAATTCTGATGGGAGATCGCAACCTGATCAAGTTAAGAACCACAGACTGTTGGGGAGGATCACATTTTTGGACACACAAGCTGTATATACGGTTTTCATCGATTGCGGGGTACTAGAGAACAACATTCAGCTCAGAGTTTGGAGGTCCTGATTCCATGTGATTCCAAGATGTTCCTCAGGTCCTGCTTTTTTGCGGCTCCTATTGTTGACCGAATAACTTCAGCCTTCTCGACCTTCTCGATCCGATTCGACACGTGGGGCCGGCTGGCTACGGTTGACCCAGGACTGGCTGACCGGCTGGCTACCACTGCACCGGGACAAACCCTACGGCTTGCCGATTCCCTCTGTGGCCGAACAAAAGGAGATTGGCGGACATGTTGTGGTTGTTGATCTAGGGCGATGGCCTATTGGATTACAATTGTTTTGGGTTATCGTGACAATTGTGTGTCCATATTGTGTCTGTCAGTTAAATTATGGCCTTGCTGGTTTACGCCATTCGACATGTCAAGTCATGGGGAGCACTGCCGCTGGTGAGGGTTGGGTGGGATGAGGGAAGCAAGACGTCCCACCTTACTCATCCTTGCTAACAAGCATGGACACTGCTGGCATTTAGGACAGTTATTTCGGCCATATTCATACTCGGTGCCTCGCTCGTTGCATGACCAATTCATGGTTTGGATTTGCTCCGGAGGTGGGTTTTGTTTGCCAACTCCCTTCAGATTTTCCCCGCAAATGAGCACCTGCGCCTTACAACCCACATGGCGATACGACCCATTAATTCTGGTTTGCCTGGTGTTTCGTTTTGTGAAGGCCAGAGGTCCTGAGGGAGTGATCTCCACCAGAGCGGACTTCTGGATAATTGTGAACATACATCGGGTGTTACTCATGGATGCCAATATATCAAGAACACTCCATGGGACTCCCATATTTGCTTACATTGGAGTGGTTAGACGGAGAGATGTGGCATATATTCCGTACATGAAGTGTTGCGTTATAATATACATGCAGATACATGCAGTATATATATATACTGTATATACAAGATCGGCATGGATTCCATGGAACTTTGGCAACCTCGAAGCCGCACGAAAGAAACATTGGCGCTTCGGTGGAAACAATCGAGTTGTCCTTCAGGACATGGTTTGGACCTTGGACCTTCATCCTGGGGGTTTGGTGGAGCCCCTTGACGACCCTGTGGTGGCCAGATGTGTTGTTGGACTTTATACCTTTGGTTTTGGGGGAGGCTGAGGTGAATCAATTCCAGATCATTCAACCAGTTTTGGAGTTCAGCATGACAGATGACAGCAGCAAGCTGCAATTCTCTATCTCTTTTAGAGGCCTAGATTTGTGATTGTGAGTGGTACTTATATAATTAAGGGTTGCAAACGACTCGGTCGACACTGAGTGGAAAGTAGCAGGATGTTGCCTTGAAATATTTGAAATGAAGCGGCCACCGGGTTCATCCCACAGGCAGCTTTAAGACATTAACATACATAACTGTCCTTTTCACCCCCAGTGAAATCCAATTTGTGAGTGGTACTTTGTGTCGCACCCTGGTTCGGTTCCTCAGATCCTTGCGACTGCCGGACCACAGAACCACCTGCGGCTCAACCACCATGGCCGAACATCGTATATTGATGTATATTGTATGCATGAAATGGCTCAAGGTGTTACAACGTCACAATCTTAATTTGCAATATGGCATGCAGTGTGACACCATATGGTATAGTCAGTATAGTCAAGATTCGGCTAACTTCTGTTTCCTTCAATCAGCTGGCTGCGACTGGGGTTTCAGGTGTTCTATTTTTTTGGACCATGTTTTTGTCGGGGAAACTCCTGCCACCAATGTTCAACCCAAGCCTTGCAGTCGCGACCTACCCGTTGCTCACCGACTCAAAGTCCGGGGTGTCCCCGCACGGGGGGCACTGGAGTCAACGGCTTTGACATGCGCATCCCTCCAAGGATCTCTAGCATGAAATAGGGTCAAATGAGTACGAGTGCCATCAAAGAAAGAACCGTATGACCCCAGAAGTTCGCACCAAGCGGTTGACCAAACGTTTTCTGGTGAGGTGGGCCTTCAATTTGACGCAGCATATCAAGCTGCCAGATCACAAGGACAGGGGGAAAAATCGGATGTGGGATGATGTGGGAGAGCTTGATGTAAAGAAATGCATGGCATGCAATGCAATGACCCTGTGGAAGTTCACATGTTGAAATGTATGTTATGTTTCAACATGCGCGGCAGTGGGAAGAGATGAACACAGGGACAGACTGGACAGAAGACGCACGTTAAAAAACTCAATGCCTCAAAAGAAGAAACAACAACTGCTGTTGCATGATCACCTGTTCGGCAACACATGAAAGAAGACACAAGCCTCGGAGAGATTTTAAGCTGTATGAACTGATCAATAGTTCACTTGACTCGTGCGAGCTGGCATTCGGATCTTCTGGACTTCTGGAACTGCATGTTCCACGATTCAATTGGGGTATCTTCGGGGGTTAACTTGCCATGACCATGATTCAGGAACATAACATTGGTTTTCTAAGGCTACCATCAAGCCACCTACAGCAGATCGTTTTTCCAGAAGCTGAACTTTCTGGCCGATTTTGACGCCTTCTTTGGAAGCACCATGTAGTTTCACAGTGTTTCACACACATATGTGTGTATACGTATGTATATATATACAGTATATACAAATGCGTGTGTGAAACAGGCAAGCTTTTGGCAGGAGCTTTGGGACAGGCAAGCGTTCTCAATGTTCACGGAGCCTCAATGTTGAATCCTTCTTGGTTCCTTGAAAGAAGATTCGGAGCTACATAGTGGCATCATCCCCAATCCCTTCTGAAGAGTTTTCTAAAGGGCTCCTGGCTGACAACTTTATTCCAAATCCTCTTTGCTCCAGGGAAAAGGTTCCGGCCACCGCCTAAGTTCTGAATGCAACATGTTACGTTCTACGTCGGGGGGTGTTTAAGTGTATGAAAGAACACGCAGGCGAAGCGGCAAGTATATATTTTCTGGAATCGAAAGAACACGTTGGCGAAGCGGCAAGTATATTTTTTCTGAAGTGAGTGGATCATGGGCACCCCTCTCTCCCATGAAGCACCGGAACTGCTGGTGTCAGGCCTTCGCATCACTGCGCGAGAAATACACGGCGGCGCCTGCGCGCGCTCCGCCGCGGGTGCAGCTGGGAGCGCCTTGGGCTGCCTGCAGCATCACAGCATTGTAGCAATCCAGATGGCGTGCTTTTTAGAACAGGCTCAGCTACATCCCTCAAGAAACATCAGAATTAGAACCATTGAGCCTTTCGAGTGCCTCCTCTTTCGTTTTTGCACTGCAGCACTGTGGGTCGACCTCGTTGGTTTCGGCCGCGGGTTCGCTGCGGGTGAAAAAGGTCTTCAATGTTTGAGTCTTGGTGCACCCGAGTGGTTCACTTCGAACCAGGGCCCATTCCGGTCAGTCTACGATTTAAATCAGCTCTTTGGTTCCAGTTTTTGGACTGAAGTAGCCCTGGGCTTAGGGTCCGGATAGCATCAGAGGCTCTGTGCGAAGTGGCTGTTGGACGTGGATAGAAAGTCATGTGGCGCCCAACATCCCATTGTTTGTGTAGGAGGTGACACCCATTTCGCTCACCTTATTCCAGTGGTGCCGCTGGTTCGAGCCTGTGGGAGACTGTGGGGAAATTTCTTGGCTAAAATGGAGTGGCCCTTTTCGACACACATTAGATGGGTTAGAAACTTAAGAACCAACAGATTGGAGGACGACTCCTAAGTGGCACGGTTGCACCTGTCAGTTTCTTCCCAAAAAGGCTCAAGGTTTCCAGCATTCTACATGCTGACGGGTTAGACGTGTTGGTGTTTTAACACTGCTTGCTTCGCAGGGGCAGTCGGGTGAATGTTTTCATCCCTAAGGAAATACAACTGAAGAGAGCAATCGGTTCAGAGAATACATTTTGCCTTTTTGGAGACCATGCAACACAAGTTCTCCTTAAAAGGAGTTATCAAACTTGCAGCCATTGGGTCACTTGACGAGTTCTAGGAGGCATTGTTCACAGCCTCCCATGCCCCACATGAAGAAACACCAGGCTCAGCGGTTTGAGCTCAGGATACACTTTCCACAGATGTATTTTGGACAGGGAGCTGGTCCGCCGGCCGCTTGGACAACATCAGCCTTCTCGAAGGCCACAGCCATGTGACAGTCCAAAGAACCAAGAAATGTTATGACATTTTATTAACTATTTTCCAAAACATTGGTGTCGGTGTTGTCTATAGGATGTTCACAGCAAGACTGCCTTTTTCAGTGGAACAAACCACCGCAGATTGATTGTTGGTGCTGTTCAGTTTCTAGGTTTGGACTTCAAAATGAGCAACGACGATCCACCTGGGGTTTGGTGCTTGCTTGTTGAATGGCTATACTGCTCCGTGAGGAAAAACAAATTATGTGATGCAAGCCCCCCTGGTTGCAAAATCCCCTGGTCTTGTGTTCTATTGTACAAGTACATTGTAGCATGCCCTGTCCGGAAAAGAATTCAGGTTGATTAAAAAAACATAGTTGCGCGGTTTGTGGGGCTCCATTTTTCTTGAGGGTTCCATACAGGCAAACTTCTTATGTGTATACGAATATGTTTGGAATCCAGATTTCGAAATGAGTTTCCTTCAAATGAAAGCTGTTTTTGCAGCTGAGAGGGGACAGTCACAGAGAAGTCACTTGGATTTGAATTCAAGGTTTCCAAGGCAGGATTTGCTCTATACACCGGCATAAATTTGAATGTAATTCCTTGTGAGGATCTGAAATCAAGTCTTTTCTCAAAGGTTCAAAGTACTAGCTGCCTTAAATCTGAATTTAAGACCTTGTGGTCTCCTAGGCGGCTGAACTTTAGATTGAAGACCTCCCGAAGTCATTGGCTTTCCATCGAATTTCAATTTTCGCCAGAAAATGATGGCTCAGGCTGAGGAGGTGGAAGTTGATACTCCTTCCAGAGGAAGGAGGCGAAAGCCATGGAAGGTTGTGGCCGTGGTGGATGTGCCTGAGTCAGAGTCTCTTCGGGTGGCTGGGCAAAAGTGGCTCTCCTCTCAGAAGATTCTTCACAAGACTCTCACCAACTCCTCTCACAATGGGAAAGCAACCTTGATAGCTCGGTGTCTTGCTTGCCTCTTACCAGCACTGCTTTTCAAGACAACAAGCTCCAGGTTGAAGCAGTTGGCCAGCACACAGAGAACAAGAACACGGCTGTCTTGAAGAGGGCGCATGCTAAAGCTTTTGCGCAGCATTTTCTTTCCAAGGCCGGTGAATATGGGAAACATTTTCAGCTCTCAAGAAGAGTTTTTCCCAACATCATCATCATCACTATCATCATCATCATCATCATCATCATCATCATCGTCACCATCATCGTCATCGTCATCATCGTCACCGTCGCGATCACCTCACTTGTTCTGAAGGCACTGAAGATGATGCGACGCTGTGGATATGCAGAGAATGTTCTCCCAGATCAGCACCAGCTCAAGAACCAGCAGTACAAGATGCAGAGTGAGGGCAGGCTGCCAAGCATTAGTGCAGAATCTTTGAACGAACTCAGGCTCTTTGTTACAGAGCCCCCAGTTGGCATTGAGGTGTTGCAGGAGCATGTAGTTATGCAGGAGGACAAACTGCTTATTCCGTTTTGCTTGGCAGACCGAGATCTTACTGATGAGATCTTGCTTTTGATGGACTTGACTTTCTGCACCAATCAAGAGGGTCTGCTTTTGGGAGTGTGCGGTCCGGTGGGCTTGATCAGTTCAGTGAAAGGGCCTTCTATGAGATTTTTCCCAGTGGCTCTCATGCTGACAACCAAGGAAGACTCTTCTTTATGTTTCTAGATCGAGGTCAATCCTTGGATATCCTTGGATGTACCGGTGGAGTTGGGGTTGCTTAATTGCAGCTGCTATCAGGGCATACTTCAAGCGTGCAAAGCAGAGGGTTTAGATGTCAAGTTGCGCTGCTGCCCGCAGCACGCTACTTGTCAGGTTGCAAGCAGCAGCGCATTTGTTCCTCCGGCCAGTGCAGGTCATTAGGGAAAACCCAGTGATGGATCGAAAGTTTCTGCCTCCAAAGTCAGTTTCGGAGGAGATTTGGGGGCCAGAGGTTGTACTGGCTTATGTCGCTTGGAACCATTACGAAGCGACAGTCAGCAAGTCCCTTGGCAAACGTCAAGACCCAGAGTGAAGACTGAACTTCTTTTGCAAAAAGGCGCCCTGGTGGTGGGCTGGGTTCGGATTCAAATTTAGGACACGGCATTGGTTCCCGACAGGTGCGCGCCACAGCTGGAATTCGAATTGAAGCCCCTCTTAGGTACCCACATGGCATAGGCAAAACAGGTAGCTTAAATTCAACATTTAATTCCGTTTTCGGTTTGCTTTCCAGACGCATCCGTATACGAATATACTGTACCTGCAATTTTTCTTGGTCAGAATTATATATCTGCCTTTTATGGGTAAAGGTGCCTTTGTCCGTGCACACCCAACCACGGATGGTAGTGAGGGGGAACGGGCAAGAACGCCTAAGCCTAAGTAACGAGTAAGAACGCCCAAGTGACGGGAAAAACGTTTGCAAAACGTTTGCATAAAAAGACAATATGAAACAAACGTGTTTCATTCAATTTATGGCTTTGCTTCGTGCATGCATGAATGAATTCAGATGATTGTGCCTCGGCGATTTTGACTCTCGAGGCTGCAGTTTCTTTGTGAAAACGGGCAGATTTATTAAGGATGCCTAAGGAAGATCTTGGCATGAAACTGTATAGGTATTGCTATGACTGAGTCAGACTACATGTTCAGTCATAAATTGTGCTGCCATGCTGCTGCTCGTTGTGTCAGTCTGTGTTGCAACATGTTCATTGGGTAAACGGGGCGGGGTTGCCATTGCCCGTGAAGCAACATTCCGAGGGCTTGAACACCATGTGTTTTACAGTGTTGTTTGCTTTTGTTTCGTTTCGGGCTAGTCAACTCATGAACTCCAAGACGATCAGTTGAGTTGAGTTTGCTACGTCGCCTCTCACACCATGAGGCTTCAGTGAGGCAGCACGCGCTCCTTTTCGCAGTCATCGGCCCACTCCAGCCATGACAGGTCACTGTACACCTGGCGGACGGGTGTTTGCATAGCTTCTCAACGTTTTTTCACCGCTTCAAGGGTTGGGTCAAAGCCCGGATGTTGGCTGAACCACAATGCTGACAGGCCATCCACGTGCTCTCTCTGCAATTTCACATCGCAAGCTTCACCATTCTGCGCAATGATTTTTTTGATCACAGCTGCCGAGCATGGTTTCTTGATCACAGCTGCCATTCCGTAACGCGAGTTGAAACAAGAACGCAACTGTCCCCAGCCCCCCAACCCCCCGGCAACACCATGTTGGGTCCAATGTTGAGTTGGGTCATCGGGAAGGTTGCCTTCACGGGCACCCCCCGCCGTTGACCCAACATGTTGCAAGCTTAAAGTTGTTTGCTTGTTTGGGAGCATGCTTAGGTAGAACCCGCACTGCATCAGCAGCAACGCAAGTGAAAAAGGATAACACTGCCCTTTCACTGATTGACTTTGCCTCATGCACAGTAGACAGGTTTAACTAACCCTAATCCCAGGCCCAGGCCTGGTGACTAGAAACTGCATTCCTGTGTCAAACTGTCAAACATTACTTTGAGATCTTTGCTCTTCAGCCAAGATATATTGGCTCGATGCCTCAAGAAAAGCACAAGTTGGCACAAGATGCATTGACACTGACACTCTGTGAGGATCGAATATGTGTTCTCATGTTCCCGCCCACAGACCAGAATTCAGTACTGTAAATTCCTGTAACATCTTCCATGCTCAGAACCCTCCAAACATTTGCTGATCAGTGCCTCTACACGCGTGTTCTGGGAACGTGCTCGACCGGTGCGACTGTCATTTTGGTCCATGATAACTCCTTTTTTTCTGCTGAATGGAACCGTTTTGCTCACGCAGTTGCTCTTCTCCTTGAAGTGCCACATGATGTTTTTTTCAAGCGCATGCTTTGACGTCGGCCTCCGCTGTGGGAATGTGTGGCATTCAGCGAATACCAAGTCCACTGGCTTCCTGATGTGCACAACCTTCTCCGCTTTAGTTCCACTCATGCGGCAAGTGGAAATTGGTACAGTGGCATGAGTCAGCATGGTTTTCCGTCACGGGAGATAGCAGTGTCCTCGGTGTTCGCGGTTTCCTGTCAGAATCGATCGCTCAGTTCGGTGTTCGACCCAGGCTGGGCGAGAAACTGGACGAAGTACTGGCTGCCAGCAGAGAGCTTCGGGGGTCAGGCGCGCAAACATTCGGGGTTGAAATAGGGAGACGTATAGTAAGTACTGTAGGTGCCCTGCCTTTTTCTCCATGTATGTGGATCTCATTTAGCATGCTCTTTGGGTGTTCATGTCTTTTTCTGTTCCGAGTGGTAAGGATCAAACATTCCAGATGTTCCTGGCTTCCTGGTGAGGTCTTTCAAGAATGCTCTTTGCACATGCGTCAGGTTATGAGGCACACATGGCCCCATTGAAAAAATACATTTCCTGACGTAGAATAATTAGTAGAATACTTATTGTCCACAAGTTGGTTGATCAAAAGCTTGTCTCCAATCAATCCAGGTTGACGTCCTTTTTTCCAGGGTCTGGAAGTCAAAGAAACATGTGATTGTCTACTGTTCCTTGCAGGGTCACCATGACAACGGACCACAACTCCATCAAAAATAGCTCTGAGGTCTGAGAACATCTGCCCAGCATTTTTCGTTACTTCTATGCTGCGTGCTTCCACAGAAATACAATATATATAATATAGATATAGATATATGTATATAGAGATAGATTTTGATGGATGTTGGACGGCTGCGTGTAGACGATCTTCACAGCAAGTGACACGTGATTTAGTTCAATGTATGTATGTAGGAAGGTGTTGATCTAATGTAATGTAAGATACTGTGACGCAACGTAACTAGTGCAATGCAACGGTATGTAACGTAATGTCATGTATGTAATGTACTGTAAAGTAATGCAACGTAATGCCATGCAATGTAATGGTATGTAATGGTATGTAAATGTATGTATGCATGTATGCATGCATGTATGTAATGTAATGTAATGGTATGTACGCATGTGTGTAATGTAATGTAATGTAAGGTAATGTAAAGTAATGTAATGTATGCAAGTTTGCATGTATGCATGTGTGCATGTAAGAGTGCATGTATGTATGTATGAATGTAGTGTAGTGTAGTTTCGTGTAGTGTGGTGTGGTGTAGATGGACTGTAATGTAATGTAATGTAATATTCTGTATGTATGTATGTATGTATGTACGTACGTATGGACGTAGTACGTATGTAATGTATGTAATGTATGGTATGTATGGTATGTAATTATGGTATGTAATTATGCTATGTATGGTATGTATGGCATGGTATGGTATGTTATGTTATGTTTTGTATCTTTGTATGTATGTATGTTTGTATGTAGGTTGTATGTATGGCATGGTATGGTATGTTATGTTGTGTATGTTTGTATGTATGTATGTTTGTATGTAGGTTGTATGTATGTTTGTATGTATGTAAGTAAGTAAGTAAGTAATGTATGGAATGTATGTATGTATGCATGCATGCATGCATGCATGCATGTAAGTATGTAAGTCGTACGTACGTACGTATGTAAGTATGTATGTATGTACGTATGTATGTATGCATGTGGTAATGTAATGTAAGGTAAGGTAATGTAACGTAATGTAACAGTATGTAATGTAATAGTATGGTTGTTTGTATGTATGTATGTATGTGTGTGTGTATGTGTGTGTTTGTATGCATGCATGCATGCATGCATGCATGGATGTATGTATGTATGTACGTATGTATGTATGTATGTAATTTATGTAATGTATGCAATCTAGTTTTTCTTTGTGTCTCTTCCTGTGCATCAACGTCAGTCAGCCCTTTTGGCTCTAAAGCAGCAGTTGGTTTGCTCCATCGCCACCACATTGTTTCTTGAGTGCCTTGCTGACCTGGTGCTCAACTCCTTTCATCAGGCCCTGGGCTTTCCAGGTCGTGCAGAACACACGTCCTCCCTTGCACCACATGGTGTGGCTGCAATGACCAAGCCGTCCCGGTCCTGGGGCCCACGCCTGGTTCCAGCAGCAAGCAGCTTGTCTTTGGCGGAGTTTCGCAAGGTGCGCCCATTGCAACTGCGGCACACTATGTAGTTGGTTTGCAGCTCAAAACTATGGTTTGCCATCCCAGGCACCTCGCCCGAGAGAAGACTTTTGAGCAATTCTGTCTTGGACTGCTGGGCTTCATCTTTCCCCCCTTTGAGGACAGGGGAGGTGCTGGCGGGGCACGGTTCATCTTTGACTGCCAGCAGGCCCTCATACTTGCAGTGTCTAGTGATTATTTTTTGACACTTCTTGCACTGCAGTCCTCTTGCTTTTCTCTTTGCCCTTCTCTCTGGTTTGACGCAAAAAGTGATCCTTTGACTCCATCAGGTGTCGAATCCTTTGGATTGCCAGCGGAGCTATTTTGTTGTAGCGCTGATCCGTGGTGCGGAGATCAGCTTCTTCTTCTTTGGCCGGAGAGACAAAGCTACCTCTTTGGCGCCTTTTTTGCTATCTTTGAGGCGAGTCTTCGCCGTCTTCACCGAAGCTCCTGAGAACATGTCATTGACCTGTTTGAGGCTCCAGCTGAGAGGGCGGATCTTGCTTCTTTGATCAACTGTGACCAGGTTGTTGAGATCATGAAAGGTTTCTTTGTTTTTGCCATGGGCCCAGGCCTCCCAAGCTCTCGTGGACAAATCCTGCACCTTGACTTGAGTGTGCAACAAGGCGCCCATAGAACCATGCCCTCTCCAGAACCTGTCTCCCAGGAAGCAAGCTCCCTTTCTGTGGAGCTCTCCCGTAATGAGGGTGTAGTGAACCAGAGCCACCACAAAATGCTTCAGCCTCGGGTCCTGACTTGTGGGTGCAATCCCAATGGTGACCACATCAATGTTGGTCATTGGTCAGCCTCACTTCGTCGTGCGTGGTCCAAGATCCCCAGGCCCACCGCCTTGTTTTCCTCCAGCTCCTGAAAAATTCCATCTGGCCCATGTCACCCGTTTGGACCGCTGAGGTCTGGCAGGATGTCCTGCTGCCAAGGCTGACCGCGCCGATTGCAGGCCATGTTCGGTTTGCTGAGCAACCGGTCTTCCCAAATCCAGCTCTGTCGGCAATGCTGACATACCTTGTAGTGTCGCCGCATGGGTCACGAGGCCTTCCACGATCTGGCCTTTGTGCTCTGGTATCTAGTGGCGTCCATGCCCTTCCCAAATGCCAAGCGGTAGAGAACCACTTGGATTGATGAAATGGCTTGAGCCTTGAGCCTGTTTGTAATGTATGTCTGTCTGTCTGTCTGTATGTATGTATGTATGTGTGTATGTATGTAAGTATGTTTGTACGTATGTAAGTCTGTATGTATGTATGTAAGTTTGTATGTTGTACGTATGTATGTATGTATGTCTGTGTGTATGTATGTATGCATGTATGTATCTATGTAGTAATGTATGTTATCTATGCGATGTTTGTTATTTGTGCATGTTTGTTTGCATGGATGCATGCTTGTATGTATGTATGTATGTTTGTATGTATGTAATGTAGTTTAATGTCACGCAATGTAATGTAATGTATGTATGTTTGTATGTAATTGATGAAATTTATGTATGTGTGAATGTTGTATGTCATGTAATGGTATGGTATGGGATGGGATGGGGTTTATGGTACGCTATGGTAAAGTAGGTATGTATGTATGCTTGTAATGTGTTTAATGTATTCAGTGTATGTATTGTATGTTTTAAGTAATGTGTGTATTCAATGTATGTATGTATGTGTTTATGTAATGTAATGTATATTTGTATGTATGAATGTAATGTAATGTAAGTAAGTGAGTAAGTATGTATGTATGTATGTATGTATTACATTTTGTAATGTAAGCAATGTAAGCAATGTAAGTGATGTATGTAGTATGTTATGTGTATGTATGTATGCATGCATGTATGTTTGTATGTAGGTATGTATGTATGTATGTTAGTATGTATGTATGTATGTATGTTTGTATGTATGTATGTATGTATGTATGTATGTAATGTGTTTAATGCATTTAGTGTGTGTATTGTATGTAACGTGTGTTTGCGTGTATGTGTGCATGTATGTATGTGTGTTTTAAAATGTCTGTTTCTGAAATGCAATCAAATGCAATGTTGTGTTTTGTTGTGTATGTAAGGTAGTTTATGTAATGTAATGGAATTAACTTTAGTGTTTGTATGCATGTGTGTACTGCAACGTAATGTAGTGTTTTCATATATGCATATGTGTAGTGTCGTATGTCGGCTTTCGGGTATGCATTATCGCTGTGGTGTAAAGTAATGTTGTGTGCATAGTGTATGTCATGATGTGGTGATGATTTATACATGCATGCATGCATTCCCGTATGTTTTTATAATCCTTTTTACGTATACATGTAGTGAATATGGTCTCTTTAAGTGCCACACACCCAACAAAAAATAGGGACCTAAGATGCTTGAAAAGATAAAGGAAGAACGGACTAAGGCAGGCATTGGCTTGTTTGTTGCTTTCATGTTGGTGGTGGTCTTGGGTTCAACTGAGAAGTTCGTGGGCACGCTTTGCCAAAACCGCTCCGATCAAGCTTCCCGGTGCCCAGGGCCGTTTGGGCACCTCTGCCATGGAGGACTTTGCCGTGGCGGAGGCGCCAGCTGAGTGGTGACGATCCACTGAGGCCTTTGATACTAATTGCGGCTGGGGATGTTAAGGCACCGGTTTCTCGCCTAGCACCCCAAAAGAAAACATTCATGGACTTGTGAACGTAAATATATTGGCTTGAGTTTGAGGCATTTTTGCCCCGAGTTGACACAAAGTAGGGAATGCCGTGTAACTGAGATGCCCGATTCTGTTGAGATGGGACGGCCTGAGGCTGACATAGGCTGACTAACACATGGGATTTGCGTGGCCCACCCTCTCGCACTGAAACAGTTTGTTCTACATTGATTTGATGATGTGAGGGCGATGGCCCAGAATGGCCCAAGATTGGGATGCTTTGGGGTCGGGTCGTCAGAGGCCTTGGCAGCTCTGCACCGCGCTGGGCTGGTGTCGGGCGTAGCAGCGGCGTTGCTGGTGCTACGAGCCTTTGGACGAGGGTGGGTTTAAGACAGGAATGGAGACACAACTGGGTCGGTGTTGATAGGCATCCAAAAGTGTATGTCTGTGTGTGATTATACATATAAAGATACATTTAAAGTATATAGTATATATATATATATGCATATGTGCATGTATCTGTATATATATATATATGTGTGTAGGGTAAACAAGGCAGGCAACATTGGCCCGAAGCTCCGGGAACGTTTTAGATAATGGACATCCATCGCGAGTGTCACAATTCTTTTGCGACTGACTGGCGCGACGCGTCCTAGATAGGGAATGAGGATGAAGAGGGAAGGCTTCGCTCCCCATGGGGATTTCTTCGGAGCCATTCCCTCCTTCCTGTCTCAGCACCAGTCACTTTTCTCCATTTTGTTGATGCTTTGTGGAGGGGTTCCTCAGGCCTGCGATCCTTTGAAGCCTCTGTTTGAGGGCACAGAACGACCGCAGATCCGAAAGAGGTTCCCTTGAAAAAGCTTGCATACGGCCTTTGCTATATGTGTGATTTATGTAAAACTATAACCTAATTATACCTACAGTACATATATATATATATATTTGCTCGCCCCCCCGGTTCCTACCTTTTGGGTGGTTTTATCAGATGTGAGCCATAGATCACTTCTACTGTATATCAACAAACTTTATCTAAACATTGTCATTTTAATAGCTTTCCTTTGGGTCCTTGGGAATGGTCACTTCTATGTTTAAAAGCTATAAAAACTTCTCATTGCAAAAGGTTTTTTTGGTCTCTGGGAATGATCACTTTTACCTTAAGAAGCTTTATACAAAAGCTTACATTCTTTTCATCTTTGAGAATAATCACTCCTATATGAAAAGGATTTTGTTGTAAAAGGTTTCATTTCAATAGTTGCCCTCCGGGTCTCCAGGCAACGATTAAAAGTCCAGTATTAAGGCTTTTCATTTCAACAGCTCCTTTTTATTTTTGTGAACGCAGAATTGCCCTTCAGGAGCCCCTCATCACAGATAGGCTTCCTCTCCAAAACCTTTCATCAAAGACCTTTGTGAATGTGAAATGGCACGTATATTCAGGTAAAGTTCAATGAAACTACACGAGAACTGTCTCAAAACAAATTGAAAACACATGTCAACAATAAAAATATATATGTTTAATGAAACATTGATTTTCGACCAAAAGGAAGTGAATACACATGTAAATTGCACATTCAATCACATATAGATGAACCTTAAAGAAAAACCAAACGCACAAAAATGGTTAGAGAACAAGTTAGAACATATAGAATATTTATAGAAAATTGGAAAGCAAATGCAAATTAATATCAATGAACTATGTTTAGTTTTTGGGAAACAACAACATTGAAGAACACAACACACAATAGAAAAAGAAACCTAAAAGCACTTTCAAATCATTTTCAATACAGGACATATCTGATCAATAAGGCGTCAAGTCCAACGTATATGTAAGTGAGTTGAACACAGTTTAACTATATTGGAAACCAAAAAGAGTTGATTTTAGTTAACCAGCAACTACAACTGTATGTATTTTTTGAAACAAAAATGTCTTAAAAGAGCAAGTTCAATTTAGTTGAAGACGGTTTCAAACTCTTTACTTTTGCTACCTGAAAATACATTTACAAAAACTGTGCAATACAAACAAACTCTACAATTGAAAAAAGTTAAAACATAGGCCAAATAGCAGCAATACACTTGGTTAGAAAAAGATCCAACGTGTATATTTCTTTTTGGGAACATATTAAAACACATTTTATCATGGTTCTATTCTTACAATATAAATATATCAAGCAACTGCCATCTAATTAAAAATCAATTAGGACCAAATTAGTTTCACTAAAACACTCAACACTTACTGTATAAACATACAACATTATAGTTTATGCAATTGGCAACCAGTTAGACTGTTTTTTAATGTTGCAAATAGACTAGAACTAAAACCTACTTTCCATTTACAACAAACCCAAAAATGAAAACTTTTTACAAACAACTTAAAATATAAACAACTTAAAGTATACTAAAATTTATAATAGTTCCACATGGTATTAACAACATTTTTGTTCAAGACATATTGGTATTCTGACAGTTTTAGGTCATTGGAACCGACAAAGAGTACCTCTTAGAAGTCCAAAAACGATATATTAATACCCTTTGAACAACTTATATAACAATTTATATTAAAATAAATATATATATATATAAACAACTTATATAACGCATTACGGTTCTAGGTTTAAAACAGTTTGAAAACAACCGAATTTGTTTTGTTAAAACATATTTGTTTTTGTTTCATTCAAAGGTAGTTGATTGAAAAAACAAAATTGATGCAGCCCAACTACAAACAGATTCAAGCAGCAAACTGCACACACCTATATCTTCAGAGTTGCTGAGAACAGGTCAAGGGACTTGTGCAGTTGGTGCATTTTGTTTGTTACATTTTGGCTTTAGAAGGGAGCCAAAGTACCAAATCTGCAGACCACATGACCTGACCTCAGCCACTCTGAGGACATTTGTCTGTGCAGTTTTGGTACTTTGGTTTTCCTTTTGAATGTATGTATACAATGTTTTGGAGAGAACCACAAAACTAGAATGGTGAGCATATTGAAAATCAGCACAAAACACTGTAATATACAATACAATCATCTAAAAGGTAGATAGTACCGGGGGGTGCACTATATATATATATATTTATATATATGAGCAACATTTATGGAATATATTGTGTGTGCATGTGCCCTACTGATTGTTCTGTACAGTGTTTTGTTTGTCAGAGGTCCCTAAAGCAAATCAATGGTTCGGAGTCGGAGGTGTAATTTGACAGAATTGCCGCTGATTAACCCAAAGGATTCGAATCACTAATCTAGATCTTGATCCTGCTACTAAGTCATTGGTTTGGCTGCCAGTTGCTTGGTGTTCCCTTTTTGTTGATGTGAAGTGAGTCAGTAACTGTCCCATGTCGGAATCGAATCGCGTTGTTTCATGTTCCTTTCTGCTACGTTCTTTCAGTGTGGGGCGTTCTTGCATGCAACCTGGCTGCCGCACGTCCCCTGGACTGCCTGGTGTTGAACACCTGGTGGAGTTGAGCCGCATCTTATTTGTGTTTTCTTGGTTGGATTGGGGCTAGAAAAGACCCGAACCTTAGGTCAAATCATGTTCACCACCATCATCATCGTCATCATCATCACCACAGTCATATCCATCGTCACCACCACCACCACCATCATCATCATCAAGATTCATGATGTTTGTTGCGTGTTCAGTGTTCGGCAGTTCGCTTTCGTTCGTTTTGACAGGGCAAAAACACTACGACTCGGTGCTGCATGACATCACACTTCAGACCACCAGGAAGTGCCAGCAACTTCATGGAGCCCCCAGCGAAGCAAAGCCCGGTCGCCTACATGGACCCGGGCGATTCGGGCGATTTTTCCCGGCGCAACGCGCAAGAAACGTGCGACATGTGAGAAAACACGCGCACCATTGATGGCAGATGGTATTGACCCGGACGGGGGGGTGGAGGGTTTGCCATTCCTTTCCTTGACCAGATTGTAGAAGTATATAGCGCCTAACACAGACCATCATTTTCAACTGGCTGCCGCCGCCGCCACCAAGACTTATCCAAATATTTTTGATCGACTGCTCCTTGCCCGCTACATCAAAGATGTTGAGGAATCTCCCTCGTGCGGCAGCATCACTGTTGAAGGCTGCATTTTAGCGGGCGAATCGCTACTATTATAAAAAAACTTTCATTGGAAAGAACTTGTTTTCAAAAAATTAAAAAAATCAAAAAAAAAATCAAAAAAGGTCAATCCCAAAAGTCAAAGTAAAAATAAAAAAACTTGAAACGTCAAAAAAGTCAAAAAAAATCAACAGTCAACAAAAAGTCAAACAAAGACTTTGCATAGGTAAACAAGTCAAGGAAAAGCTTGTAACAAGGCAAATTGCAGCCTTTTTGCTTATGGCTTATGGCTTTCAGTCTATTAAAAATTCTAGAACCTTTTTGGTTGTTCAACTTTCACCTTTTCCAGCCCCAAGCCAGCCCCAACCCCCTACCCCAGAGTCGCAGGACCCCTACCCAGCCCCAGCCACTGTCCCAGGGTCTCTTCAGCCCCAAGCCAGCTGCTGCTCAAATTTTGGGGCAGGTTGCTGCCAGCCAGGCTTTGGGCTGGCTGCGGCTGGGTCGTGGCGGAGGGGTCAGGTTGAGGTCGAGCTCAGGCAGGCTACAGGCGGGCTGGGGCATGCGGGGCTGGGCCGGCAAAAAAAGTCAACAAAAGTAAAAGTCAATTGGAAAAGTAAAAAAACTCAAAAAAAGTCAAATGTGCTTATCCTAGCCTTGGCGGATTACTGGAGGCAACAAAATGTCAAAAAAAAATCAATTCTGCTCGCGACTCTGGGGCCGGACAGGGCTGGGTACTTGGGACTCTGGGGTGGCTACCAGGGCCACCAGGGACAGGGCTGGCTTGGGGCTGAAGAGACCCTGCGACAGTGGCTGGGGCTGGGTAGGGGTCCTGCGACTCTGGGGTAGGGGGTTGGGGCTGGCTTGGGGCTGGAAAAGGTGAAAGTTGAACAACCAAAAAGGTTCTAGAATTTTTAATAGACTGAAAGCCATAAGCCATAAGCAAAAAGGCTGCAATTTGCCTTGGCTGACTTATGAGTTTGTTACTAGTTTAGTTCAATGTTGTTGTCCTTTGTGCCTGTGTTTTCCATATATATATATATATGCCGGCTTTCTTTTGCTCCTGGGTCGGTTGACTGGACATGTTTGTTTCTTTTTGACTTGTTTTTAGTTTTTTGTGTTTTTTTTCTTTAACTTTTTTGGACTTTTCAATTTGATTTTTTTTGACTTTGACTTTTCCAGTTGAGTTTTTTTGGGGGATTTTTTTTTTTTTTAAATCAAGGATTCTGGCCTTACCATATGAAAGTTTTTTAGAACGCTACTAGAAACAAATGCGTGTTTGTTTAAATTTAAACATGCTTTAAATATCTACATGTTTGATTGTTTTATTTTTCGACTAATTAACCACTTTTGTGTGTTATTTGTTCTCGTTATTTCATCTCCCCCAGCTCGGTCTTCCCTGTAGGACTTCTTTCTCAACGAAGCCTGTGAAGCAGCCTATCTGGTGGGACTGCCGGTGGTGAAGGAACTGCTTCAGCGTCCAGGTGCCTGGTCGCTGCGTTGCAACGGTGTGGTGGATGGTGGCATTTTGTTGGATGTCGTTGCAAAAAGAGTCAGGGTTTGTCGTTTAATTTCTACATGTCTATATATATATACACATGAGACATGATACATGTGCGTGGAGTCTTGTGCCGCCGGGACAGCTTTTGTGGTAGCACCGAGTTTCATTTGGAGCAGGTGGTGGCTTGGGGTCATGGATTGTTCACTGATGTTTCCATGCTTGGTCTTCTTGTCTAGTGGCTTTGCAGGACAAATCAGGGTGATATGACATATGGTCGTTGTTCGAAGGGTGTTGACCTACCTCATGTTGCAGTGAAACAGCGCTTGCCCCGACAGCGGAAATTTGCCAGAGGGGGATTCGCATTGCCCAACTCCCTATGACCGTTTCTGACTTGGTGCGGGATATCTCTTACATTTATCGGTGAGACAGACCCGTCTTGGTATGGGTATGTGAAGCAGGCCCCTGTCATGGAAGCCATGTGGGTGCACTCCCTGGAACTAAGATGGTGACGTGAATCAAAAATGGCCCCGGAACTCGTTCGGAAGACCGTCTGACATCCGAAGGCCTGTCACAGGTGGAGCCTTCACTCGCTCACTCCACTTCTGAGTTCCAGGGAAATGAGTCATCCGGTCCGAGTCATGGGACTGGGCGTTGAGCCTCGACCGTCGGTCACGCGCGGTTCGACGGTACTTCGCGACTGCCAGGCTTCGCCCCATCTACGCGCGGAGTGGCCTTGAAGGCGAGAGGGCGATGTTCACCCAAGTTGGAATGTCCAAACAACTGGTGAACCTTGAAAGGGAGGATGGGGAGGAACACATTAGTTCTTCACGATGATCTGGGTGGGACATGTTTGCCATCCAGAAAGGCTTGCCCTATGTCATCATCAGCGCGTTGGTCGCAGAAAAGAGGTCCTCATCGAAATGCCTAGCCCACCGGCCACTTTCCGCATCCTCGTTTGCTTTGCCATGCAGCCTTTGGGATGACCGGCCATGAGAAGAGGACGAGTGCAATAGTATTCACGGGATCGTTCCAGCATGCGTTCAGAACGAGTTCGGTGCGAACGGTGCGCGCCAGGATCGGTCGGTGAGCACTGCCGAGTTTTATCAGGTGGCTCAGGCGAACTCTCCGAGGGGCTGAGGGGCTGGATGAGATGAGATGAGCTCTAGTAGAGATAGATTAATAATATATATTATGATATGATGCCACGATTGGTGAGTAGTCGGATGGCATGTAGCTTGGTGCGCCAAGAGATTCCTAAATCATGTGAGAAGCTCAAGACATGCAGTTGGGAAAAGGCAAGCCCCTCAACTTACTAGTAAGTGACATCGGTGAAGTCCGGCATCCTGAAAATATGAATTCCATACCTAGATCATTTGGTAGTGATATCTATCTATCTATCTATAGTTACATAAAATGTTGTGTACACATATATCATATATGCATGCTACCATGTTTGTGAAGTGAACATGCGCGACATGCATCAAAATATACCAGGGAATTGGGAGTGGTGTGGAAGTCAGAAGGGTTCCAAAAGTAGTGGGGTTTTGAAGAATCATTGGGGCATGCGGCACCAACACTCCACACATTCGCAAAATGAAAGAGCCTGTACAGATGTCACGAGCCTAAGCGAATGCTATTCAAAAGAGCATCGTATGCCCCTCGACAGAAGTCTAAAATACATCTCGCGTCAGTCAGGGCACCACCTTCAAGCCCCTCCGCTTTTCCAATTACAGCGTCCTGGATCGGCTGTCCTGTCACACTGGTGCCAATGCTTGCCGGTTGCATGGTCCCCTGTGAGACAAAATGTGGTAGATGAGTGGTTCCAACGGCACTTGCCCGGGGGATCGACAAGGAGGAGAGCAGCAAGAATGACATGTTTGCCAGCTGCTGGGAGCGACCCACGGCTGGAGATAGAGGTCTCGGAGGATCGTCAGAGATCCTTGCTTTTGAGTTGGAGGTCATCCTGACCCAACTTCTTTTCACTGTTTAGGCCGCAAAAAGCCGCCTTCTCAGATCGATGTGAAAGAGTGAAAGAGATGCTTAAAGGTTACCCTGTAGTACACAAACACTTGGCAAATGTGCCACCCGCATAACACCCTTCCGGGGTATGCAGGGATTTCCTTCGTAGTGGACGAGCCACCCTTGTCAGCACCTTCAGCAAAGACTGGCCAGTCCCCACTCATCATGCACTTGGGAACCACAAGACTTCAGCTGTAAAAGCAAAGGGCAAAGGCAAAGAAGAAAATACAAGGCTGTGCAAAACAAAATTCGAGAGGTCAAAAAGCTGTACAGACCATAAAGCTCGGAGAATAGAAGCTCGCACAACACAGCGTATCGACACCATGAGGTAAGAAGGCAAAGTTACCCTCAAGGTTGTAGTGTGATGCGCTCAAAGCAAAAACTGTCGAATGCAGCGAAGCCAAGTGTGGTTGCCAGCGTGTGGATTATATGGTTTCCAACTTGTGGATTGGATTGTGCTATTGAAGCAACTCGTGCATCGACTCGCCATGTGACATCCACTCCCCCTCTCGGATGCCGCTGGTCGCCAAGCGGGTCCTCGTTCACCAGTTCCTGGCAGGTCCAACGTGGTACTCATGGCGTGCGATACTTCGTGGGATGAGGATCCTCGACGTGTCGGAGCGACTGAAACGGTCTGGGACCTGCGAGTTCGTTGGCTGAAGACCATTTTCCTTCACAAGGGGGTTTGCACCAAAACCAATCCAAAACCAATCCAAATATGTTGTTTCTGTCAGTGTGCCACCCCCTCACCAACATGCACTTGGAAAAGTACGTTGTTCTAGAGGAATTTAATGGAATTCACCCACCTCGGTCAAAACCTGTTTTCCACGGGCCATTGTACACTTGCATAGTCAGAGTGCATATTATGTTTGGCTTCGGTTCTTGGCCCCTCAAAGTTAGCGGTGGAGACACATGTAGACTCAGCACCCACCAAAAAGAAGGCGGGGTAGGGGTAGATAGCAGCCACATTTGCCCTACCGGCACCTTTTGCTGAAGGGTGAGCACAGACAGTGGAACTTTGAGGCAACCGAAGCTGCGACGTACGTCACCAGGGGCACAGAACTCGTTTGCTGGCTAACGAGAGATTCCTGTCACTGTCGAGTGGCAAAACTTCTGGGACTTTACATGCGTGAACTCTACATGCCACTCAGGAAAATGCGGTCTTTGCCGGAGTCAAACCTGCCCGCCCACATTCGCACCAAGCCCAACTTGATCACGGAGGATTGCAGCCTCGCTCTGATGTGACAAAAAGGGGCGCTATGTCAGGCAGTCAGGCAGAGGTAGCACCCTCAAGCATTACAATTTTGATTCGGAAACAATAACCCGTGTACAGTAAAGGATGTAAAAGGTATCAAGTGGAATATGGACCATGTACTTCATCCTGAACATGAACAGATGGTGCATATACCTTTGTGGTAGTCAAATCAAGTGCTGGCAAACCATCATCCACTGCTGGACTGGCTAAACCTTCTTTTGGCTCAAGCTCCCTGGACTTTGTTCCACATTGGCCTCGTTTGGCCCTTGGAAGAAATTGGACTCGAATCCTGGACCCTGGCAGGTGCACCTCCTCAGTCGTCGTCTAGTCTAGTCGTTTGTTCTTTTTCGCTGCTCAGCGGGGGGGTTGCCCAGTTTTCACTCACAGACCTCAAAGGGATGCCATCCACACCTCGTGATGAGGCGAGCATGGCACAAATGCATGAGGTTGCCTTCCGTTGTGTTGCAATTTGTCATTGTAAGCATCGAATCAGAGTACTGTATACATATATATATATATTATGCAACATTGCTTGGGGTGGGGTTTCTCAGCTACTCTTGAGCGATTTGGGCACCACCCAGGCAACAAATCTCTTACCAAACGGGGATATGCTTGACACACTCAAGGCAACAGAACGGAGTTCAATGCAATGCAAACCGTGAAACCTAAGATTTTCTCACCAGCGTGCCGCACCCGGGTGGACAGCTTTGGCACATGTTGCACACCTCAAGTTGAGAGCCAACTGCTTGATGTTCATGATCGTACGTATACTTGTTACTGAACTTCCACCAGCACCCGTCACGAAACACGGCCACGCACACACAAGTAAGGAGTTGCTATGTTATGTTATGTGAGGCAATCTCAGGGGAATTCCATGGTTTTAGAGAGGATGAGAAGTTCCAATTCCATGGTACTTGAACAGACGACTGTTGAACTTCTATACGCATTGCACACAGAACGTCCGCTACCCAGTCGGAGGTTGCCCTTGGGGAGGCCCCAACGGCCGAACAAGGTCTCACCCGCCACCGAGGCCGCGGCCGTTCGAAAGCCCAATGGAGGCTTTCGGTGTGCTTTGGGCCACGTCGATTAGGACGAAACGGGCGCCCGGACCTTGACACACATATCTTGGCATGAAAAGGAGCAACACGAAAACACACTCTCCGGGAAGGCCTATACATTTATCCATATTTATTGTTCAATATTTATAGTGATTGGCGGCATTGGCCAGTAGATGAGGAGTTTCAAAACGAGTGATGGAACTTGTTTCTGTGACCTAGTCCTGTGGGACCATGCTTGCACGGATTTTCGCTCACAAGCACGGGACTCCTGACCCCGATGATTTAGATACTTTAGGGTGGACCAACAACTGCAACCACACACCAAACACACCAATTAAAAGCTCCCCACTAAGCTGCTTCTACTCACTCAGTGAGTGGCCCCGTGCGCTAGGCAGTGCTCTTGGAAGCGAGGCAAGAGTTCCAGGAGCTCACTACACGGATACTCCAGAGGCGTTCACTTCGGTGCGACGGGTCGGATTCATCACCACGGCGCCGCGCTTTCGCTGGGATACGGCGCGCGAAAAGAGGGTGAACGAACTTGGGCGCTTTTGGTGAACTTGAGGGTCCTTTTTATGAGGATTGAGGCATTATGCATTAGCCTCATTGCGGGCAAACCCGTGTAACAACCCACCCCACAGCAAGTCAGGTAGAATGTTAGCTTGTTGGCTTTTGCAGGGATATCGAATATCAGGGAAAGGGAGCTTTATATATTATATATATATATTATATTTATTAGAAATACGTTTTACGTGAACGTTTCAGCACACCATGCAGCACAACTCCCACGCTATACACAAATATAGGGACTGGTCAAGATTGAATGATGTGCACTGCAAAGAAAGACGGTAAAACACATAATCATAACTCTCCCACATGAATACATCAATGAACGCGGCCTTTCGTCACGGTCCAAGCTTGTTCATCATGTGAACAATGCATAAAAAAATAAAGAACACCAGGCTTTCCACAGAAGGCTTTTGCCAACTATTTGCAGCACGTCTTGCGCGAAGCAAGCCCTGGGGTCCAGGTTCTATAAGAGAGTGGTCAGCGAAAGGTGCCTAAATGGTTACCCTGAGTAAACTTGTGCATGATACCGAGCAAACGAACATGGACTCAGCCCTCAGTTGTGATCCTGTCCGAGACATGTTCCAAACGCTTTACACAAGTCTTAGAAGACACCCCCGTACTCAAGAACCGCTGGTGTTCTTTTTGTCGTAGTTGATTTATTTGTTTGAAGGTTTGTAAGTAGGAGTGTTGCGCACACTATTCAGTAACCCCCGTGATACATTCTGAGAGAACCACAAGACACTGCTCGCTTCATTCTCACTAAATTCCATCCATTCCAAAAGGTTCTTGGCTCAATTGCGAATGTGTGGTAACGAGTTCACCCAAACAACTCAAACACAGACCCATGTCAAGAGCAAACTTCCGCCCATTCTACTCATGGTGGAGAACCACCCCTTCTTCGGGGACCGTTGCCACAACGGCAGGCTCCAGGCGGCGCTCGCCGAGGAGCTGGCACGCGCCAAGGCGGGCTGACGGCAGTGGCCGTCCTTAGAGCGCTTAGGTTGGGAATGGTTGGTCCCTCTTACTAGTAGGTTGGGAATGGTTGGGATGTGGATTAAGATGTGTATATCCAGCACAATTCTCGGCCTGTAGGTACAAACGAGTCGTTGTTCCGCTTGGGAATTTGGGTTGTAGAAGCCTGGACCCCTGCCTCGGAAGATTCAGGCTACAGTTGAAACAACGGACTGTCGGCGGACAGAAACACCTCCACAGAGAGAAACCACCAACCTGATGGATGCCGGGCAGCAATTTCTTCCGCATGTTCTGTGGGCTTTGGGGCTTGGGTCCATTTCTGGAGTCTTCTTCACGTCAGATCACCCATCCCATGTCTATCCTCCGCAGGCCGAGTTGGCACGTGAGGCGCGCCCGCACGTGTCGCTCGCACCGCACCGGCCGTTCGGCACCGATTCTCTTCGGCTCTTCGGAGGCACCGAGGTGACCCGAGGTGACCCGAGGTGACCCCCGAAGACGAGGTACACAGCTAACCGAAAGCATTGCAATGTAACATTGATATATAATGATATATACATTGAGTGTGTTTTTGGCCATACTGTATGAAATCAATGCACATCACATCATTATACCGTACTACTATATCACACCGTTCGAGCGGCTTCGGAGAGCGAATCCATGTATGGATGGAACCTGCTTGCATTGGCGGGAGCCTTTTCCTTGCAATGCTTCACGTATCCAGTTTTGCGCCTTGATGTGCCATAAGCCGTTTCTTCAGAATTCAGAATTGTTTTGTCTCGATCAACGTGACGCGGATGAAGATTTACCTTCTGAACGCTTCCCTTTCGAACGCATTGTGGGTGCATGAATGTGCATGATCTTCGGAGAGATGGCCAGGTTCAAGAGGAGCTCAGAGCCAGTCCTGCCCTCGGGCAGACGCTCGTGGTAGACGATGGCACCATGTGGCACCATGCAGCCAACGAGCCTGCGATTGGTAGATCTACTTTCTACTTTATATTACAGTACATTTTTTGCTGGCCTTAAGGATCTCAAGGTGTTTTCCCTTGTGCTTCTAAGGTGTGACTCGTGACGGAATGTCGGAGTCGTTTTGGGAGGAGGTCCTTTACATCCACTCCTCGTTTCCTTCAACACCTCACATCAGTTTGGCCGCTTGTTCCTTCGACTTCAGACTTCATACTCCATAGATGTCCGGTTTGCCAACTTGATAACACTTGGTGAACTGCTGGATTTGCTTGGGTACAGATGAAGGGTGCGGTCCTTCACTGTGGTTTGTATCGGGAACCTGCAATCGAAAGCTGCAAATGCCTTGTCGTTGGACAGACAGCTTCCTCATTTCACCTGCTTTCTTTATTTTGGTTTATCAGAAGTTTCAGGCTTTCAGGGACTCGCGAGTGCGAATGAACATCGCCCACCCTTTTTTTTCTCGCAGGCCGCAGGCCCATCCGCAGCGCGACAGCTAGCTTGTACAGAAGCGTCGGCTGCGTGAATAGCGGGCGGGTGTGTCCAAACTACATTTGTTGTGCTTTTCACGTGGATGCAAGGTCAACTTATTTTTAGACAGCCTTTTGGCCCTATACTTGCACCAACAGTGCCGCACATACATTTGGTGCGCACGGCGCAGGCATCAACCTACTACGTATTTAGACTTCCTGCTGCAAGAATCGAATGTGGAAGGAAAAGGAGATGCCACTCCGGTCGTTGTGCAATGCTTGTGATTGTGTCACATGCCCACTTCGTAATATTGAGATATGTATTATACATGATAATTAATATTGATTGTGTCAAGCGTTTTTTGAACCTATCTTGATTCAATGCTAGGGAAACCTCAATGTGCCTTGGTATAGTGACGGTATGCCAATCCAACACCTGCCGTGCAGCAGACCGGGTTCCGCATGGCGCATGGAGCGCATGGGCCCAGTGGCAGGCTCGATGAATCCTACAGAATGCAATCCAAGGGGCTTTTTACAAAGGGGATCAAAGGATATACATGGATATACTGTATGCATAGGCTGGAATTGGTGGAGCCCTACTACAAGTCAACAAAACAAAACAAGTATTTAGTAATATTGACAATGAATACTATTGAGCCATCCATCATGGCGTCATGCATGTGCAGTAGGTGCAATTTGATGTTGTGATCTATCTATATATATATATTTGTGCATTGGACTGGGCGTTTTGCAATGGTGGTGCTGCCTTGAGAAGATTGAACGGCCTTGATCAGATCTTCACAAGGCCTGGGTGAACCTCATCCAGATGGATGGGAAGCCTCCCTGGCGATGGACCTCAGGACAACAGCGGATTTCGTGGGGGTTGCTTTCAGAAGCTGCAGTATTCATGTGGTGAGTCTAGAGAGTGGGACGCAGGTCACAGTTGCAGCTAGACTGATGGAGTTGTCATTGCAAACATGTTTGGCTAACTAGAATAATTCCTGAAGCGGGTCAAAAAATAACCCTAAAGCGGGTCGGCCAAAACGGGTCCAAAAGAACCTTGACACGGGTCAAAAAAAGAGCTCTCCACCAAACAGTCAAAATAAAACCCAGAAAACGGGTTGAATACATATATTATAATAAACACATATACATAAAACTGCCCATAATTCCTGCCAGCGTCAACTTGACCTGGCAAATGCAAATACAATCCCTCCAACGAAAGGTTCCTAGTGGGGAGCAAGAACCTTAGATCATTAGAGACCACTCCCTTAAGACACTGGCACGCCCCGCGGCCACATGAGCCTGCAGGATACCGATGGCTGTGTTGGGACTTTGACCAGCAGGTCCATGTTGAGTTCTGAGGGGCTGCGTATGGCTGCGTGTTCACGTGCCCACTTTTTGCTAGCCACTTGTTTTAGATTCTTCTGGCCCACCTCCACCTCGCCAGAATGAACCAGTGGTAGTGTTTCCTTGTGGTGACCTGTGGGAGCAATCTCGGTGATGCCATGGTGATGCCATATATCATGAGTCCGCCATCGGCGAATCGGCTCCGTGGCATTTGTTTGGTGCCCCAAAAAAGGGTTCATGAATGATGAATGTGTGTGTGTGTGTTTGTTTTCCGCATGGGAATTGACTCTTTGGGGTCAGGTTTCATCTCAGGTTTCTTTGGGGAGCGATCCAAGTTCTTGCAAGTTCTTGCATATTTCATGGTCCATGGCCGTCTTTCCGAGGCGCAGCCCTGTCCTTTTGGCAAGTAGACCATTTGGACCATCTCTCACCTAGTTCCTGATCGGTCAGACCTGGGCAGGTCCTCTACTACACCCTCACCTCCTCGGGACACGCGATGTGCCAACCTGTGTTGTTCAGAGAGATCCAGCCAGCGATGGTGGACAAGGAGCTGTGGGACGATCTGAAATGCTTCCCAAGCAGATACACTATGGCTATAGTACCCAAGCAGATACACTATGACTATAGTACTATAGTTTGTAATAGCTGTTGGTAGAAGCATTCTGCTTTCCAGAAATGGTGATGAGAAGCCCAAATTCGTGTTCCCAGTGTGTGTGTGTGTGTGTTTGCGTATACTTGCACTTGCACGCAAGCCTTTACACAATGAATTTTCATGCGGCCCATGGAAAATATGCCCACAGCAGAGCAAAGGTGTGCCAAGGAAGATGGCCAGCGATTACAGTGATCTTCGAAGGCAGACGTCATTTGGACAGACATGCAGGAACTCCAGCAAATTCTAAACGGTTCTGTGGCGCGGCGCATTCCGCTGAAAAAATCAGGCTGCTGAATGTTGGTTGTGAGGGCTCATGTTTTAACGACTTTGCAGATGTTTTGGGTCTCGTCACTAGGATGTTATCCTGTTACCAGTTTTCTGTTACCACACCACTACCTTACCTTCTTCACTGATTCACTGTAGTACATGCAGTGTGTGCTCACGAAACCTCAGCTGGGTTTGGGTTGCTTGTGGAGATGGCTTTTTGAGGACCAACATGGGCCAAAACGTCGAGCGTCGGCAGCTTGGGCGGTCTGCCGCCCCGAGTTCCGTGCCGTGGAACAATCACCGTGGTCCTCCGGCAGGTTTGATGGAGAGTTCATCGGGAAATCCTTCGGGAGAACTGAAATCTGGAGTTGCGACAGGCAACAACTCTTCAAGTGTTCAAGTGGAGCCTTCAATTGGGAAATCGTGAATCCTTGGCACTTCATGGCTCCCTAGACCCTTAAGTATTCTGGCCCCCTGAAGTGTTGTGACCAAAACGAAATGAACGCCTCAACTCAGCGGTCTTCCATGGAGGATTGAAACGGGCTCGGATTGAATTTAGGATTTATTTATTTTTTTACGGATATTGTTTTGTTTCTCGTGTTTCGTGGCAGGTGCAGTACTTTGTGGACCTTGAAATGCACATTTCGTGGCATGTGCAGTACTTTGTGGACCTTGTAATGCACATTTCGTGGCAGGTGCAGGACTTTGTGGATGTTGAAGTGCGGATTTAGTGGCAGGAGCAGGACTTTGTGGATGTTGAAGTGCAGATAGACAGATAGAAAGATAGACAGATAAATGGATCGATAGATACATAGATAGACAGATAGGAAAGAAAGAAAGAAAGATAGAAAGGTAGAAAGATAGAAAGATAGATAGATCGAGAGATAGAGAGATAGATCGATAGACAAACAGACAGATAAATAAATATGGGCTGGGTGTTTTTTTATGCTAATGGTATTTTTTCTTATGCTCACAGCGGGGTTGGTGTGCTTTTGGGGTATGGGTTTCTTTTTTATGCTTATAGTTCTTTTTTTTTATGCTAATGGTTTTTTCTGTTATGCTTGCAGTTCTTTCTTTTATGCTCCTGGTTTCTTTTTTTATGCTAATGGTTTCTTTTTTTATGCTAAGGGTTCTTTTTTTATGCGGCACTGTGGGAAGAGGTCACGTTGGGGGGTCCTAGTGCAGAATGTAATTGTCAGGAGGGTTTAGTGCAGAATGTAATTGTCGGGAGGCTCTAGTACAGAATGTAATTGTCGGGAGGTTTTAGTACAGAAAGTAATTTTCGAGAGGTTTTAGTACAGCAAGTAATTGTCGGGAGGTTTGAGTACAGAAAGTAAGTGTCGGGAGGTTTTAGTACAGAAAGTAATTGTCGGGAGGTTTTAGTACAAAACGTAATTGTCGGGGGGCTTTAGTACCGAATGGAATCGTCGGGGAGTTTCAGTACAGAATTAAATGTCGGGGGCCTTTAGTATCGAATGTAAGCGTCGGGGTGTTACCGAATGGACAATTATTCATGAACGAACCGTTCAGTGAAAGGTGATGCATTCGTCAGCAGAAACCGAAAAGTGATGAGTTCCAGTATCAACTGATATCAATTGTTTAAATGAACGGTAGAAATGTGGCCAAATGGGCTCCAGTCAGAAATCAGGGTCGCTTCGTGCGGTGTCTGTGTCGGTCCGTCCGGCATGGGTGGGCAGTGATCAAGCTCCTCTCTCGTTGGATCTCCTCGCTGGAGTTTTTTGGTTTCCGCCAGCAAAGAAGTTTTCATCGGGGAAGAGTTTGCATGTCACCATCCAAGAAAAGACGCGACTTCCACAGAGCCTCTGCTCATGCCACGCGTCAGAGTGCTTCCGATCCAAAACAGGGCCGTTCTTCTGCCAGCCGTTGTTCTTCCCGACGCAGAAGGGCTTTGTGGCTGGCATGGAGGGCAGATGGCCATTCCACCATTCCATCAGACAAGGTTTGGTTGTTCTACCGTCTCGCCCTTGCCGCCAAAACTGGAACTGGAGTGTTGGGTGAATTTCTTTGCAATTCCTTGCCTGTGCAGCCGCCGGTCAGAACTCGGCAACGAGATGTTTTTCCCTTGGCCCCGCTTGGTGGTAGCATGCTGAAGCCTGTAGACATGACAAGTGGCAGGTGGAGCGTGCTCCTCCAATTCATCAACGTGGTCATTGGCATTCTGAACTGGTTGCACGGCATAAAGCAGACAGTGCCGACTGGCAAGCACACGTTCGCTCAACAAGCAGTTTTGAAAAACATCGTGGATCGCACAGTGTGGACACTCACACGCCTGCAACATGCGCAAGATGGCTGGGAGCGGCTTGTGCCAGATTTTGTGCCAGGTTTCACTGCAGGTACAACTTCTTTCCAAGACTTGGTTGCTGACAGGGTGGACAACTTGCAAGCGGCTGGCTTATGCGATCCTTTGCCCCACTTGCCAGCCCATGTGCGGGCCAGCTTGGCAACACCTGAAGGAATCCTTGACAACAGCGATGATTCTTTGCGTGTTTTTGAATCTTTCTCCTTAAGGGCCCGAAAGACGAATATGCAAAATTGGTTGTCAAGCAGCTGCGGTGTGGTAAGTTGAGTTTAGCAACTTTTTGCAAGGCTGGTGGTACCACTTTCGCTGTTGGGAAGCCTGGGGGTGAACGCCTGAGGGAGGTATGGCACGGCCGACGTGTTTCAGAATCAGCTTCTGCACCTCCAAAGCCGAGACACTTGGCTTCCCCAACTGCGTTGACCTTTCTGGAGTGCAGCGATGGAAGACCACTACGCCTTAGCAAGCGCGATGCTACGTGTTGGTTTGACCAGTTGAAGCTTCCCAGCTCTCTTCGTCGATACATGGCCAAACCGCCCATCTCCACAGTGGAACTTGTCAATGCTGGAATGTCAGTGGCGGATCAGCGGCAGCACGTGGAAGATGGACATGCTTGGCGCGAAGGTTTGCTATATCCTTTGCACTGCGTCTGGCCTATGGGATTTTCTTGGTCTTCTTACATAGCCCAAGAAGCCAAGCACCACTCGACAAGAGTTGTTGTTCTGCTTGACTCTGCAGTTTTCTGGGCGCGGCCGCGAAAGGGAGGTCATCTTCACAGTTGAACAGGTTGTTGCGGAAGGTCGCTTCTCTGGCGATCCGCTCCAGCAAAAATCCAGCGGATTTCCCTTCGCGTGGCAAGAAGAGGCGAGCGCGAAAGTGAAGCAGCTCTAGGCTGCACGGAGTTTTTCGGAAGCCCTGCCTTTCTGGCATGATGTGCAAACTTCCGAACTTGCACCCTAGAATTCAATTTTGTCAATTTTGATGGGTGTTCGTGTTGCTGGCGCTCGGCGTCCTACATCCGGGCACGCTGCGGTAGATTCTGCGCGTTCTGGCGCAGAACTGGCTCCGACGGGCAGCTGGAAGATGCTTGGTGCTGATGTTGGGCGCTCGGGCTACTGTGAGTTTGCTCCGCTCACAAAGGCCTCAACGGCGCACTGGTTGATGTGATAATCTGCTCTCTGAGACCCACACACACAACCGGTGGAATTCTTTTTGGTTTGTCGGCAGTGATTTTCTCTCACAGCCAGGTGGTCGGGATTGATGATCATTAATGCTGGACCTGAACAAAGCTGGCAAAGTCAGCTGTGGATAGTGGTTGTAGCATGATCAAGTTCTAACCTCTCGGCAATCGCACCCGGTTCACAAAAGATTC